TTCCCTCTGTACACATACATACATAGTATATTTCTGCAATGTTAGAGCCTTCTCCAAGAACAGAAATAAGTTCTTTCTAGCTCCCACTCATGTTATCCTCAAGGTCTCTCTTAGAATGTTACAAATAAAGTTATATCATATTCCTCACCCAACTCTGTACTTTTTCTACAGCTCGTGTTACTGTGAACCTTCCCAAGAATAATCCAGATGATGATTTCAGTGGCTCAGACACAAGTGATTGTGTTTGGTTGGAAGGCAATGGTATAGGAGCCATTCACTTCTCAGAAAGACAAGTATAAGGATTGTAATGTCCTGGGCTCGCTGTTTATTATATCAGGGAAGCATTACACAAGTAGATGTGTCAGAAATGTCCCTGAATCTTGGGGTTATATTGTGCAAAACATAACATTAATAGTTTTTAACAAGATTACTCTAGCTATCAACCTAAATTTGGCTACTGGGAGCCATCAAGTCTGCAAGGGAGGGCAGTTAGAGGTGACCAGGCCTGCAGGGAAGGGTAGTTGAGGGGTGGGACTCAGGCCTGCAGGGGAGAGCAGATGTGGGGGGGGACCAGGCCTACAAGGGAGGGCAATAGGGCCAAACAGACTGGCAGGGGAGCAGTTAGGTATCAATCAGGCTGGCAGGGGAGTGGTTAGGGGGTGACCTGACTGGCAGGCAGAAACTGTTAGGGGCAATCAGGAAGGCATGCATGCGAGCAGTTGGGAGCCAGAAGTCCTGGATTGTGAGAGGGATGTCCAGTAGTTGGACAACCCTTTAGGGGTCCCAGATTGGAGAGGGTGCAGGCTGGGCTAATGATAGACTCTTTGTCACCACCCAGGCCCCTTGCCCAAACCAGACCGTGCGTGGTTATTTTGATGGGCCTGGTAGAACCTGGGACTGGTATGAAAAACAAGCCCTCCTGTGGATAAGATGTATTGGGATAAAAGTCCAGCTCCAGGCTGACAATGCACATAAATTTTTTTAGGGCCAACTATTGGCAATTATAAAAGGTTTTGCTCACAGAGCAGGCCTCACAGGGCAAATCTACCCTCCCACACCAGACTTGGTGCACAGCCAGTGCATTGCTGCCTCTGATGAGAGTGGTAGTCAAGGACTCAGGCCGTGCTCTTTTGCATAGTTATATTCTTAGCCCAGGCCCTCCTGTTGAAGGTCTCCTCATGGGGAAAACTTAAGATGCTTTTCTTCTCTGACTCAATGCTCAGTACTTTTTCACTACTAGCTCTTCTCCTTTGAGCTCCCTCTTGTTCGTGCATCCATAAACCTACCCCAGGCTTTTATCTAAGACTCCATTGGCAGTGAGACAACCCCCATGTATGAAGGGAAAGCCCTCATAACAGATAAGTAAATTTTAAATATCTTTCTGCCAAACATGTCATTATGCCAAGAGTTCATCTTTAACAAATTCATGCAATTTTATAATATTTATATTCAATGTGGAACATGTGTACCTTTTTGGTGTTTAATATCATCTAGGAAAGCTAGAATAAACTGATGATGCATTGCAACTGGTATCTGTGCTCTCTAAGATGTTCTCAGAGGTCTTAGGTCTTTCTTTTCATTAAGAAATTCATGCCATTTTAACCGGGACTGTGGCTCAGTGGTTGAGCATCAACCCCTGAACTAGGAGGTCATGGTTTGATTCTGGGTCAGGGCACATGCCTGGGTTGCAGGCACAGTCCCTAATGCATGATGTGCATAAAGCCACTGATCAATGATTCTCTCTCATCATTGACATTTCTATCTCTCTCCCACTTCCTTCCTCTCTGAAATCAATAAAAATATATTTTAAAAACATATTCATGCATTTTGTACTGCTGAGAACAGAAATATCTCAGAAAGCTACATTAATGGAGGCATATATTTATATAGAAATATATAATATTTTAAACATCAAGTATTTTCATACTAGTATAAATTGAATGCAAACAAAATAAAGTGTGTATATATATATATTAAGAAATGGGTATAAAACTTGCATGACAATGCAAAGTATGAAAAAAATGGCTAAGAAATTATTGAGGTCTTTCAAATATCAAGACTAGATTGTGTTTTTCATTATTGGAACAAGTTTATGCAAATAGGATAAATAATGCTTCAAATACAAGAACATACTTAGGCCTCTGAGAATTTATCTCAACTGACTGTGTCTGAATTGCCTAGACAGAATCTCCTAGGGACCCAATATCCACAGCTTACTCAATCCACCAGGTTACATTCCATCTCAAGGGAGAGGATTTCATCCCTTGTCTGGAAACGGGTGATGTAGGGGCCCCTATGATCTGAATTTTATCTCCTAGGAATACAAGGAATTACATACATGTTCCTGTTTCACCTCTCACAGTACCTCTCCAAGTCTACATTTTTACTTGTTTAAATAGATCCCACTACTCCTGTAAAGCAAGAAAGAAGACGGAGTTTGGTGAGTTGAAACCTACAGTCAATTAGGGAAGAGGAAAACCCTACCCCGTCCCTATCATTTATTAAATAAGTGGTCTTGCATTTACTCAGTGGCCAAGCAAGGTCTGTCCCCTTGAAAATGTGATTTGGGAAGAAAGCCTCTGACAGCAATGATTCCATAATAAGTTGACAGATTCTGGCAAAAAAAACCAAACAACAACAACAAAAAAAACTATTGATTTCAAGCATAGACCAACTAAAGCAACCATTAGTACAATAGAAAATTCAGCAGAAAAAAATAAACTTTTTGGGTAAAAAAAACTGAGGTCAGAATAGATTATGATTTTAGCAGCAGACTTGGTTTGGATGTTTTCCTTTGACACTCCTTCCCTTTGTAGTTGTAATGGTCAATGGCTTATTTTTCTCCCTTTTAAATGTATTCCCAGCAGCCCTGAGGAAATGTGCTTCTTGTCAGGAGGCAGTGAGTCTGTGCTACAAAAGATGGACTTGCAATCCAACCTAAATTATAAATACATTCATGGCTTTCTAAGTCTCCCTGCTTTTCATGCTACAGGAGGTGATGTCACCATCCTTTTAGGGAATGATTTCATTAACTGTTATCATTATATTCTATAACCATAACAGTGCCTATAGGAGTTTAGTCCGCATCAAACATGGAGATACAATTTAGACTATATATTCACATGGATATGGAAGCAGGGGGTTGGGAGGTGGGGCAAGGACTACCTCTGGACAGTGGGAACCAGTTGCACTCCTCCTAGTTAGATATTTTGTTTACTTTGGATAATTAAGAGAAATGGCAATGACAAAGCCATTTATAATAATAAAAGTGTAATATGCTATTAGACTAGATGACCTTCAGGACAAAACCAGGGCTGAGAGGGAAGCCTGGGTCCTGGGTGTCAGAGGGAAACCAGTGCCAGCAGCTGAGGGAAGGAAGGCCTACTCTTACACAAATTTTGTGCACTGTGCCACTAGTTCCCTCAATAAGAGAAGCGCACAATGTTAAGCCTTGTCTAGGGTTCCGGCAAAGGTACCACAAATCCTATGTCTCAATCCCATTTTCTCCCCTGTACACAAAACTACAGATTCCTGCCAAATGCAGTAATATAGAGCCGCTATGACTTATCCACAAAATCTACTTCCTTTTCATAAAGACTTATAATAATAAAAGTTAGATGACTTTGTAAATTTGTTGGAGAGGATAAGAACTAAACCTCTCCAAAACTGGTCTGAGGAGGGCTCAAGTTGTGCTGGGTTTCTCCATTGTTTTTCTCCTGGCATCACTGTTACTGAATTCCTTCTCAAAAGTATTTATAAAATAGACCACACAATGGAGTTAAATCTCAAGGGATATTTTTCAATGCAAAAATCACCTCCAAAGGAAGGTTCTATTTAGTGCAAAGCTATACATACCCAAAGATGGTTCCAGCTACTGCAGACTACAACTGAAAACTCTGGGTCAAAACTTTTTTTTATTATTCATTATTTCTTCTCTATGAGGTGAGAATCTGCTCTGCTAGACTATGTCTAAGCCACATCACACTATTAATACTTGTTATGGAGGTATTGCTAATGTGATTATTGGGTAGAATTATCTCCCTACTAATGTTAGGAAACAGAGATCCTCCAAGGTTGAGGGCATTGCCCCCAAAAGTCATAAATTACCATCTCAGCTCACTCTGCCTGAGTCAAGGGAATGCTGCTCTCTTGTCCCTGTGCATTTTGTGGGAGATACATTGTCTTGAATTCATATCCCAGTAAGTATCCTAATCTAAACTTTATTTTAATACCAAGTAAAAAAAAAAAAAAGCTTCAATCCCACCCATGGAACTAGAATCTGTCATTTATTTTCTTTCACTTTTCCTTATTTTTTCTATTGCTTTATTGAAACCCTTCAATTTATTTTATCAAATTAATTGTATTAAATATAGTATTTCATCTAAAAAGGTCAGTGTCTCCCCTATTTAGTCTCTCTCTCTCTCTCTCTCTCTCTCTCTCTCTCTCTCTCTCTCTCTCCCCCTCTCTCCTCTTTTTCTCCCTCACATACACCTCTTTCTTTTTTTTAAAATATATTTTATTGAGTTTTTACAGAAAGGAAGGGAGAGAGATAGAGAGTAGAGAGTTAGAAATATTGATGAGAGAGAGAGTGATCGATCAACTGTCTCTTGCACGCCCCCTACTGGGGATGTGCCTGCAACCAAGGTACATGCCCTTGAATCGAACCTGAGATCTTTCAGTCCGCAGGCAGGCCAACACTCTATCCACTGAACCAAACCTGTTTCGGCCACACCTCTTTCTTATATAGATATTGTTTCCCATTTGAACCAGGGCCTATTCTCCATAATCTGCCTTAAAACAAGGACACAGTTTCTTAATGCAGATTATGAGAATAGGCCCTGGTTCAAATGGGAAACAGATCACATGAAATTTCTGACCTACAAAAATAACCATTTCCTATGATTTATTAAAATATATAATATATAAAAATGAAGGGTTAATGATAAGGAAAAGGAGGCAATAATAAGTCAATTCTATAGGTGCCGGCTCATCTAGGGGACATGAGGTACTTTCATGTAGGAACCCTGAATGTGAGTGACAGTGCAGTCCTCAACCACGTGCAGTACCAAAGTGGAATTGTCTTTCATAGCCCATTCTAACAGCTGATTTGTCCTCAGGGCTAAAAAAAAACCAGTGGATCCTCGACTGAAGAAACTATGTATAACTTGAGCTGTTACAACCCTAGTTCCTTTATCCTTGTTGGAATACCTGGCCTGGAGAAGTTCCACATATGGATTGGGATTCCCTTTTGTGTCATCTATGTCGTGGCTATTGTGGGCAATTCCATCCTCCTCTACCTCATTGCAGTCGAGCACAGCCTCCATGAGCCCATGTTTTTCTTCCTCTCTATGTTGGCTACCACAGACCTCGTCTTGTCCACTGCCACAGTGCCCAAACTTCTCAGTAACCTCTGGCTTGACTCTCGGGAAATAACCTTCTCTGGTTGTCTCACCCAGATGTTCTTCCTCCACTTCAGCTTTGTGGTGGACTCAGCCATTCTGTTGGCCATGGCATTCGATCGCTATGTGGCCATCTGCTTCCCCTTGAGATATACCACCATCCTGACTCCACAAGTGATCATCAAGCTTGCGGTGGGCACTGTTGTGAGGAGCTTCTCTGTTATCCTGCCAGATGTTTTTCTGCTGAAACGGTTACCCTTCTGCAGGACACGTATCATCCCACACACATACTGTGAGCATATAGGGGTTGCTCGGCTTTCCTCTGCTGACATCTCCGTCAACATCTGGTATGGATTTTCTGTGCCTCTCATGACTGTCATCTCAGATGTGATCTTTATTGCTATTTCCTATACCTTCATCCTCCGTGCTGTCTTTCACCTCTCATCTCAGGGAGCCCGCCAAAAGGCCCTCAGCACCTGTGGCTCTCATGTCTGTGTTATCCTCATGTTTTATACACCTGCCTTCTTCTCCATCCTTGCTCATCGCTTTGGACACAGTGTCCCTCAAAAAATTCTCATTCTATTTGCCAATCTCTATGTGGCCATTCCTCCTGCTCTAAATCCTATTATTTATGGGGTGAAGACAAAGCAGATTCAGGAAAAATTTATTCTCCTTTTCTCTTTGAAGAAGACACAGTGAGTGGGGAGGGTCACTGAAGGCAAAATTTAGATAAAATTGATTAGATGAAATGTTATATAACACAGGAAGACATAATAAGAAGGCCTAGAGTGGAGAAGGAGCCAGGTGAAGGGGGACAAAGGAGGGGACATCTGTAATACTTTCAACATTAAAAATATATATTTTCAAAATGACACAATTAAAAATAAATAAACAAAAATAGAGATGTAACTCCTATTAATTTAAATATTTAGGGTTCTGCAAAATATAGTCAGGAGTAAGATCGGAGAAAGAAAGTCTTTGAGACTTGTAGAAATTAAAGGGTTTTCTTGGTTTTGTTTCCTTTCCACTTGTATGAAGAAGGTGATCAGGGGTATAAAAGAGCACTAAGTCTAAGGTTTACATTTTCTTTTTTGCTGATTTTGTGATATGTGAAGAGTAGATATTTCCTAACATGCAACTCATATCTGTGTTTCTCAGTGTCTGAATTAGGGGAGAAACCTCTTGCCTTTCCTCTTTAAGTAGCTGTCAATTCTCTTTACTGTAACTGTCAAATGTACTGCTTCACACTCCAGTCCTGATTCTATACATCATTAACTTTTCCTCCTGTGTCCTTTACTTCTCTCCAAGCCATCTCAGATTACACAGAGTTGATCATCTTTTGTAACTATTTTCAGTTCTATGTTTGCTCCAAAGAAAGCTTTACTACCTTTCACCCATAATTTACAAGTATCAATATGTCTTATTAAAATAATTGAGAGGACAATATTAGTTAATTCATTTCACAGATGAGGAAACTGAAACTTATAAAGATTACAGAGAGACAATTAGTAGGTTCAGGATCTAAAACTAGATCTGTCTGATTCTTAATTCTTTATTGATTTGCCTCCTAGATATCTACTCACTTGAATGGCTCACAAAATTTTCAAATTTAATTCCTCTAAAACTGAGTTGGAAACACACTTAACATCCTCCATAAGAAATGCTCTTCTTTTTCCATCTTCCTTTGAGGTAAATGGCACCACCACAAACACAAATTTCAAAGCCAGAAACTTATGGCTTCTCCTTAATTTATCTGACAAAATTAACTTGATATTTGAGGTAAATATTTGATTTTGAGGTGCTTATAAGTCACTCTAGCAGATAAATACAGCCCATTTTTACCTTTATCATGATAACCAAACTTGTCAGAGGCCCTTATCAATTATTTGTTTCTAGGAGAATATTTGAAAGACATCTTTTTAAAGGAGTTCCAACCCCATTCCATTCAATCCACTCACTATATAAAAGCCCAAATGATAACTTTACAATTTACATGATTGTATCACTTTATGTGTTGAAACTCTAATAATTTCATTGTCCTCGGAAACATACATAAGCATTGTTCTTAGGGTAGTACAGAGAATGGAAGACTTTTTTAAAAATTACTCTTATTGATTTCAGAGAGGAAGGGAGAGAGAGAGAGAGATAGAAACAACAATGATGAGAGAGAATCATTGATAGGCTGCCTCCTGCACACGCCCCCACTGGGGTTCGAGCCCCCAGTCCAGGCATTGAATCCAAGCCCCTGACCTGGAATCCAACTGTGACCTCCTGGTTCATAGGTCAATACTCAACCACTGAACCATGCAGCCTGGGCTTGAAGACTAATAAAAAGAACAACCTTCCATGAGACTCAGAACCTTGCACTTAATTTACATTTATTTATAATTCATTTATGTTTTTTTTCATTCCCTTGTCTCTTTGAGTAAGTAATTGCAGAAGTGATATTCTTTTTATGTGTGTTGTCCTATTAAGTATCTTGTTATTTTACAAAAAAATAAAATTTGGTGTGGGTAGAGTGTATATTAGGTGGTGTTGGGTGGAAACAATCTATGTTTCTCTTAAAAAACTAACTGTCCAGCAGAAACTGGTTTGGCTCAGTGGTAGAGCGTCGGTCTGCGGACTGAAGGGTCCCAGGTTAGATTTCGGTAAAGGGCATGTACCTTGGTTGCGGGCACATCCCCGGTGGGAAGTGTGCAAGAGGCAGCTGGTCGATGTTTCTCTCTCATCGACGTTTCTAGCTCTCTATCTCTCTCCCTTTCTCTCTGTAAAAAATCAATAAAATATATTAAAAAAAACACAAAAAACCTAACTGTCCAAGGATAAAAACATCTATTTCCTAAAGTCTCCAGTGGCCGTCTTCTAAAGTCAGAAGAAATCATACTTTTAATCAAGATGAACACATTAAATTACGTGGAAGTAAGAAGTAAAGCTCCACAGGGCACTTATATTTTGTAGGCATTGGGTGATTTGCAGCACCAGGAACCCAAGCACAAGTATGTTGGACATACACCCTCTGCAGCTAAAGACAATGGTAAACCACTGCTGCATTTTTCTTTTCTTCATCTCTATCTCTTTGAAGACCTTATGATAAAACTGTTCTCTACCTCATGGGATCACTAAGACTTAGAATCAACTAGACACCAGGTAAACAACGAAATATGAAGAGTAAAATTGGTACCTCGCCAGTGTGGCACAGTCATTGAGCATCAACCCATGCACCAAGAGGCATCAGTTCAAATCCTGGTCATGGCACATGCCTCAATTCCAGGCTTGATCCCAAGTAGACGGGCTGTAGGAAGCAGTTAGTCTATGTTGATGTTTCTCTCTCATCAATGTTTCTATCTCCCACTTTTTCTCCATTACTCTCAAAAAAGATACAGTAAACTTGGCATAATTATCTAAGATGTTATATGTGTGTGTATTGGCATTTTTTAAAGGTCTGTAATGACCTTTAGAGCAGTTCAGAAAAAAGAAAATGAAAGTGTTCTGGCTACAAGTTTTTATATTGTATGTAGAGCAGCATAATATTATTTGAAGGTAGAAAGAGATAAGGAGACTAAGATATTCTGTACTCAGCAGTACAAGATGCATGGATATGTTTTAAAAATATATTTTTATTGATTTCATAGAGGAAGGGAGAGGGAGAGAGAGATAAAAACATCAATGATGAGAGAGAATTATTGACTGGGTGCCTGCTGCATGCCCCACACTGGGGATTGAGCCCGCAACCCTGGCATGTGCCCTGATGGGGAATTGAACCGTGACCTCCTGGTTCATGGGTAGACACTCAACCACTGAGCCATACTGATGGGCCAAGCCATTATTCAAATAATTCTATACTTATTTGCTTATGTATTTATCCATCCACATCTATCAATATATTATCAGCTCCTTAATGACACAAACTTAGTCATAGGCATATTCTTATACCTTGTCCTATGAAAATACCAGGCACAATATTGGTTCTCAATAAAAATTCTTGCTGATTCAAACTTCATCAGAAACTCTTAACTTTTTCTTTCTTCCTTCTCTATTCAGCTTAGATTCCACAGTATATTATTTTTTGTCATTTTCTTATTTATCCTAAGCTAAACATGTCATAAACTCAGTTGTCTATTCTACATATTGAGTTGTAAAAAATATTCCAGGAATCTTAATGAAGTCAGCCTTGTAGTTGGGGGAAGCTGGAGAAAATGACCCCTCAGGATGACCTATACTGCTGTTAATGACACAGTACTTGCCTAGTTTCAACTTCTCAAATGCATCAAATTAAATTTTGTCTCTTCCACTACTAGTGCCTTCTCTATATTTTGCTTGGAAAATGTTATTTAAGTTTCAATTAACTACCCTTCTTTAGATATTTCGTCTTTAATTCTGCATATAGATCAGTATTTTCTGCATACATTCTCATTGCACAATGTAGTATTTTGTTTCAGGAATTATCACAACTTTAATAAGGTTATTGCTTGTATACTTAGTCATTTATCTCCTCCCTTGTAACAATAAGGACCAGGTTAGTGTCTGCCTTGTTTATCATTGCATCCCTATCACCTGCAAAGATCCTAATTCATAACGAGTATGCAATACATATTTTCTGATTGTAAGAATTGAAACAAATAAGCTGTAATAAATTAATAAAATCTCTATTTTTCATGATGGAAAGCTACCTGGATTTGTATCTCTATCTAATCAGAAATAAAATTATGCAGATCATAGACTTATTTTCTTTACAGTAAATTAATAATTATTTCCCCTTATTCCTCAAAACTCTTCTTTAAAATAAGTACTTCTAAATATTCATAGATACAGAAACTGATTTTAAAAACAGTTAAGCATTTTTTCAGAGCACAAAGGAAAGGATGAGTAAAACAAGGAATACATCCCAGATATTTGGTCACTAGCCATTGGAAGTGAACTTTTTAATTAAGCCAATAAAAGGTTGTATCAAGGGTTTTCCTGCTGGAAGGATGATACTGTATTAGGCTAGTTATCTATGGTTTTCAGACCTGCATGTACTTTGTGTTAAAGATTTGCGCCCCCCCCCCAAAAAAAAAATATTATTAGCCTGTACTCTTAACAATGGACTGATGAAGTAAAGTTAGTGATGAATCACGACAGAAAGAAAATGAAGAGAACTATCAAGCAAGAATGAACATTGAAATAAGGATCTGAAGAGAAAGGACTTTTCACATCTGAAGTGGGACAGGAACAGTAAAAAAATATGTGTCCCAAGAGTGGGCAGGAGCAGTAAAAAAATATGTGTCCCAAGTTTCGTTATCTAAAGCTAGAAGCAGTTTCATTTAACTCAATGTTTATTAATTATTATCTATGAAATAAAACTCTGCTGGAATTCAGAAGTAAAACAGTCTCTTCTGCAGAGCAGCTCTAGACTCTACCTGGGGGCATGTCAGAGCTGGCTCTTGCCAGGGTTTGTTTTTGTGAAAACCAAATTACTGATCAAGCCAGATTAAGACCCCGTTGACATTCAAGTATACTACCATCCTGGATTCCACAATGCCCAAGCCACCACTAATATGAGCAGAGGTGTAAGTTTCTAAGCTGGGAAAGTGTTAATTGGTGGAAATCTCCCTCTTGTCCTAGACTTACTTGGGACCCTGGGAACTGAAGCCTATGGGTCCCTCTGGTTCAGAGGCCCTTTGTTCTCACTTGTTTCTAACCCCTGGAGAAAACAAGGGAAGGACATTTCCACTCCGCTCTTCCAGGCTCTGTGTTCTTCCCTCCTGTGAGCATGATTCTATGTCTGACTCTTTTGTTCCTGTGTCTGTCCTCATGGATCCTAGGGCCGTTTTGTGCCTGCTGTAGTTCTACACTCTCTGGTCCTTACCTTGTCTTTGCAAAACATTTCCAGGCCCAGGACCTCCAAGGTATACACCAGTGGTGAGTAATGTACAATTATTAAGGAGAAAAGCTGGTAGGGAATAGAGTGGAGTGGATGAGAAATGGAGCTGGTGGAGAGGAGACATGGAGGTAGGAAAAGAGTGGGCTTCAGGAAATTGAAAAGGCCAAGATTAGAACTTGGAATATTGATTTTGTGTCTATTAGGGGCTTATTTTTGAGGCCCTTCTACTGGACTCCCCAAAATGATTCCAAGTTTTTCTAAAGATCAAAATCTTATGTTATTATGGTAGGCTGTGAGGGTTTATCATGTAAAATAATTAAATATTGACTTAAGACTAGCTGTATTAGACTGGGCAGCAATCTGGGGATTAGAATTTACTTTGCCACCCCAAGGAATTTTAGGTTATCTTAGATACGTAAGCATGGGTTCACATTTGTGAGTGCATTTATGAATGAGTGTCCTGTTGTTCTTCTGGGATGATAGGGGCAAGCACTAAGATATCTGTTCACCCTACACACCATGGAGAAACACAAATATATGTGAGTTGGGCAGTTGCTTTCTGAATTGGATCTTACAAGAGTCCTTTTGTGACCCAGGAACAAACTATGGCTATTTCTTTTTTTGAAAAGGTCAGAGGAGAAATCTTCACAAAGACACACTTAGAATAAAAAAAAATACAACATATAGACCACAGTACTTCATGATCAAGACATTACTGAAGAACCTATCTTTGTTTAGTGCTGGGGAAGATGAAACATGTAGAGATATAGGGCACATTATTATAATATTTCTAGTTTTAGGTGAGAGGAGAAAACCCCAGCAATCAATCAGAGACCAGTCAATAAGATGCGAGTAGAATGTCTGCTAAAGACAAAATCCTATTCAGGATTATGTGATCAAAGATAGAGACAGTGCTAGTATATAGTGTGAAAGAGAACATACAGTTAGTGACAACTGGAAAGTTTCAACAAAGAATGGTAATGTGAAGCCATGAGCCTTTTCATTGTATATAGAACTTTGAAGGTGAGTGAGAAAGGTGCCACTAGGTTTGTCTTTTCTTTAAGTACATCTTTCAGTAATGTGTAGTGGCTCTGGATTCCTTAGGTTTGTTTATTGAAAGTCCTAATTCAGTTTGGAAGTATTTAAGTATGGGAAACAAGTTTTCATGACTTTTCAGATTTTCCATTTTTCAGAGTTGAAGTATAGGAGCTTATGTTATTATGGCTGTGAGGGTACAAGATTAAGGAACGAGAAGCTCAATGGTAGGATGGGGAACATGAGTAAGTTGTATCACAATATTATTTAGATAATCAAATTAATTAGTGTAAAGTCCAGTGGACCCTCTCACTCAATTATTCAGTAAGTGTTTATTGGACATTCTGCAGCAGACACGGTTCTAGAGAATAGAACAATAAAATAAGCAAAGTTGACATGTGTCCTCTTACCATTTACAGTTTATTAAGTGAGAAAACTAAGTGAATTAAAAATAGTGTGGTTAGTGCTCTGAATGGATAATGTGAAGTGCTGGGAGTGTACCTGGAAATCTTACTTAATTTAGATATTGTTTAGGAAATCTTGGTGTGTACTGGAGAGGAAGGGAAGTTAGCTAAAAAAAGAGAGAAATGAAATAACCTGAAGAAACAGTGAAAAATCAAATGTAGGTGGAAAAGAATTCAGACCAAAGAATTGTTGGAGGTCAAATTGGAGATGACACATTTGGCGCACTATTATCTTGCTTTTGACATGGGGGAGGGCTGTATGGCATCTTCCACTTTGATATTCTCATCTGAGGTCTGGTGTTAGTTAGTGTAATGTTTGTTTAAAATTGAATAAAGGAAATCACTAAAGGAACTTAAAGTGACATCTAGATACTATATGCTAATAATACATACTATAATGCCATGGGATCTGATTAGATAAAGAACCATGAGCTATGAAGAGATCTACAGATATGGTTCTTTTCATACCACCAGGCAATGTGTCTTCAGGTTAATGTTTATTTGGTTACCTTAGATAGTAAACAAATGGACATATTTTAAATATTCTTTCTTTAAAAATATTTTCTAAAATTAGGAAACAAAATATAAACCAACAAAACTGAAAAAAAAAAAAGGCTTAAAGTTCATGGAGGCGGAAGTTTACTGATGTCTCAATGCCTTTTACTATTCTTCCTTCCATCCATCATAGCCTACCATTTTTGTCTTCTTACATCTCTAAGGTCAATTTATGAATTTCTTCTGTTACCTTAATGCAGGCTGCCGTTATATACCTCACTATAATAATTATCATACTTTATTGCTTGTTTACAAAATAATGAGTTACCATTTGATTTGGATACAATATCAGGACCTAAAAATATTGTTTGAATGAATTGAGCATATTTAGGTTTTACAAATTAGTTATAACTGCCTTTGAAATAAGCCAAGATGATGTTCAGGCTCCCTATATGTTCACGAATCAATTACATCCTACATAAATTATCTTCTCTTTAAAAATAAAAGGATTTATTTTATTAAACTGTCTAAATGAGGCTCCATTTAGAGGGAGGGAGTTGAATGCAGCTGTGGGGATTCTAAGTAACAATGGCAGAAATAGGATAACTAGTTCCAAAGCTGAGGAGAGAGGAATATTTTTTAAAATTATAAACTTCAGAATCTTCAACATAGGAGTCACAGTTAAAGTCACAGCATTTGGGGACTATTTGTCAACCTAAAAAACAGCAGACACAGAGAGAAGATGGCAGGATCCCAATACTCACAAACAGGTGGAAAGAAAATGAGTTACTACTGAAGTTGGTGGAAAAGATTTGTGCATCATATCACAAAATAGAAAAGTTGGAAGAAAGGCTCAAGTATTTCAATGAAATCTCATACGAATGAGTCATTATTTTGTTTAGACAGGTGCCATTGCATAATGTTGCCAGGCTACTGGGCTTCCCATTCTGTGATTATCTTTTCTGTGGGTTGAGTGCAGGGTTCTATTCTTTCTCTGAGATGAATATGATATAATAAATTATTGGAGAAGGTTTATTGTTAAACTTTTCCAATCTGGGAATATCTGATGTGGCAGATCAAACCACTTGAATCTTAGATTTTAGGAAAGATTCTTTTTAGATTGGTAACTTTTCTAAAACATTAATGAGAACCAGGGAAGATGTTCTAGTGTGGAGAGAAGAGTAAAGAAGAAAGGAGACTGCATGGTCTGCATTGGCTTTAGACATTGAGCCTACCTTCATTCAGCCCCATGTGATCCTGCAGTTGTTAATCCAGTTGGCCAGGGCTGGGACTTCACATTGAAGCTGGCTCCAAATCCCAGACTAGTAATCATTTTTTTCCGTCTAATATTATTTTTGCACATCTTTTCTTAGAAACCTTCATGGGTTGCTGGTAGTAAGGCAGGACTAAATTCAAAGTTTTGTGACTTGTGTCTCTGGGGGAAATTATTATTATTATTTATATAGATATATTTTTATTGGGTTTTTTTTTTTTTTTTACAGAGAGGAAGGGAGAGGGATAGAGAGCTAGAAACATTGATGAGAGAGAAACATCGACCAGCTGCCTCCTGCACACCCCCACCGGGGATGTGCCCGCAACCAATGTACATGCCCTTGACCAGAATCGAACCTGGGACCTTCCAGTCCACAGACCAATGCTCTATCCTATCCACTGAGCCAAATCGATTTCAGTTGGGGGAAATTAGTTTGATACCACTTCCATTATGATTTAAAATTGTGACTAAAGTTTGGCAGGTATTTATAAGGAGAAACATATAGTTTATTACTTTTCAGAGCTCAAAATGAGGAGGTAATATTGGAGAGGTGGATGTCTGTAGATTATTGTAACAATCAACCATGACATCTTTGTTTTCAGTCTATTAGACACGTCCAATCCAAGATCATGATGACCACATTCAACTTGAGCAGCTTCAATCCAGGCCCATTCATCCTACTGGGAATCCCAGGACTGGAGCAGTTCCATGTCTGGATCGGAATTCCTTTCTTTATTTTCTACCTTGTGGCCCTGGCAGGCAACGGTGTTCTTCTCTACCTTATTTCCATGGAACGGAGCCTCCATGAGCCCATGTTCTTTTTTCTCTCCATGCTGGCTGCTACCGACCTCATCCTTTCTAATACTTGTGTACCCAAAACATTCAGCATCTTCTGGCGAGGTCCTCAGGAAATCACCTTTCCTGGGTGCCTTACTCAAATGTTTTTTCTCCACTACAGCTTTGCCATGGACTCTGCCATCCTTTTGGCCATGGCATTTGATCGCTATGTTGCTATTTGCTTCCCCTTAAGGTATACCACTATCCTCACCCATCGGATTGTTACTAAGATTGTAATGGGTATTGTCAGCAGGAGCTTTTGTATTATCTTCCCCTGTGTGTTCCTATTAAAGCGACTGCCTTTTTGCCAAACACTCATCATTCCCCACACATACTGTGAGCATATAGGTATTGCCCGACTCGCCTGTGCAGATATCTCTGTCAACATCTGGTATGGCTTTGCTGTGCCTGTACTGACTATTACATCAGACCTGATTCTGATTGGCATCTCCTACACTCTCATCCTTCGTGCTATCTTTAACCTTCCATCCTGGGATGCTCGTCAAAAAGCTCTTAATACATGTGGTTCCCATGTATGTGTTATTCTTATATTCTACACACCAGCCATGTTCTCTGTCCTCACCCATCGTTTTGGTCACACTATTCCTCACTCATTCCACATACTAATTGCCAACCTCTATGTAGCCATTCCTCCTGCACTCAATCCAATCATCTATGGAGTGAAGACAAAGCAAATTCGAGAAAAAATCATCTGTCTCTTCTTCCTTAAAAGGACCCAGTGACATAAGACAGAGATCGTGGTAAAGGAAACAAGTAATACTTCTGGAATACTTTTCATTTTTAAAAAAGCTAAAATGTCTACAATGATGACTTAAATACATATGAAATCCTAGATATGGATTGTGTGCTATAGGACCATTGAGACAAGACAAAGACATTGATGTCAAAAGAAGTGACCAAAAAGTTAAAGAAGATTATGTCTGCTGAAAAGATATCTCATTTAGAGATATATTTTTAAGACTTAGGGAATATGATTTTGATCATTTATAATGTGGATAGAATGTCCACAGGTTAAAAGATATGAATAAAGTTTAACAATCTGGGATACCTTTGTAGGACACTTTCCAAATGAGAGTTTTTAAAGCTAATAGCAAATGATTATCCTAGTTTAAGAACATCCAAGACAATTATTAATCTAAGAACGCTGTTCACAAATTTTGGTAGGGGTGAGAATCACCTGTGAAACTTTGTATAAATGCAAAGTTTCAAGTTATATTCTATTACAATGAACCTCAGTGTAATTTAATAGTTTTTATTTTATTGATTTTAGAGAGGAAGAGAGAGGGAGAGAGAGAGATAGAAACATCAATAATGAAAGACAATGATTGATTGGCTGCTTTCTGCATGCCCTAAACTGGGAACTAAACCTGCAACCTGGGCATATGACTAGAATCTAACCCGGCACCCTTCAATCCGCAGGCTGACACTCTATCCACTGAGCCAAACTGGCTAGGGCTAATTTAATAGTTCTTCAGGTGATTCTGGTGCCTAACAAATCTTAGCTCTACTGAAATCATAAAAGTCCTGTTTGTTTGTTTTTTAAAAAACAACAACAACACAAAACACATAGATTTGGTGCTTGTATTAATTTCCTGCATCTGAAAATAACATAACTCTCTTTTATGCTCCACATAACTGTTTCTTGCCAAGTATTAATGATAATCCATCTGAAAACTCTGCAATTTTAAATTTAACATCATCAAATATTTTATGAATTATCTCTCTATATTACAATAAGCTTCTCAGCCTGGATTATTCTTCCTTCAATAAAAATTTTTGCGTCTGGCACAAAAAGAATTCTTGTGCCAAAACCGGTTTGGCTCAGTGGATAGAGCATCAGTCTGCAGACTGAAGGGTCCCAGGTTCCATTCTGGTCAAGGGCATGTACCTTGGTTGCGGGCACATTCCCGGGAGGGGGTGTGCGGGAGGCGGCTGGTTGATGTTTCTCTCTCATCGATGTTTCTAGCTATCTATCTATCTCCCTTCATCAATGTGAAAAATCAATAAAATATATTTAAAAAAAAAAGAATTCTTGCCATGATTGTGTGTGATTTTAATGTCCACATAAATTACCCTTTAATAAGTTGATGTGGTAGACTGCATACTTACCATTCCCACATCAACATTTGGAGTCTAAAGTCCATTTCTATTGAATCTGGGCAGGTATTAGGAATTTCTTAACAAGTAGTTCAGTGGAAGTGACATACAAGTCTTTGCAGCTTCTGTCTGAGTCTCTTGGAAGGCTTAATTTTGGCATGTTTCCTGCTGAAACCCAGCTACTTTGCTGTGAGAATCCCCAGCAACATAGATAAGCTATGTCTAAATGTTCTGGTGAATGGCCCCCATTGAAATCCCAGCCAACACTCAGCAACAAGTGCCAGTTATATCAGTGAGCCGTCTAGAACATCCAGCTCAGCTGAGGTTTTAGATATTTGTAGCTTCAACTGACATCTCACTGCAATGCATGGGATGTCACTCCTACAAGAACCACCAAACTAATTGAAACCAATCCATAGAACCATGCAAAGTAATAATAGGCTGTTTAAAGCCAATAAAATTGGGGGTGATTAGATACAGCAATAGATAAATAATGCAGAAACTGTTAACAAGAAGTGGGATGTTGGTATAGCAAAAACCTAAAACATGTAATAACTTTGGAATAAGGCAGCAGGCAGAATCTAAAAGGGACTTGAGGAGGTTGTTGACAATGGCTTGAAAGACTATAAGGAAATTATCATTGGAGGCTGAAGAAAAGGTATGAGTATTACACAGTTGTAGGAACCAGCAATGCCACAGCTCATAGTAAAATGAAAATAGTTATCTAATTAACTGATATATTTGGACAAAGAGATTTCAAATGAGAGTGCTGAAAGTATCAACATTAATTTTATGCCACATATGATAAGGTACTTATAAAGAGATTTGAGCTAAAACTAAATTATTTATTGTTCAAGCAGAATATAGACTAAATACAAATAAGCTATGTATGAATAGGTTAAAAAAAACAAAAACAAAAAAACAAAACAACCTTTTCACCCAGCCTCTCCAAATGACAAAAAATAAGAGAACAATTTGAGGATATACCAAAAAAAATCTTTTCAATTAGAACAAAAAGCTTCTAAGAATCTTAAGGAAATTTTCCAGACAACCGCAACTCCAGTAAAAAATCAGACAGGAGCAACTTGGAAGATAACTTTGGGTGTACTTTTTATCTGATGAAGTAAATCCTAAAAGATTTATATAGAACTTAGAGTTTGTTTGTTCTTTAAAATAAATGTACAGATATAAGCACAGATAAAAGGAATAGAGTTAGTGCAAAACGGAAGAACTTTGGATCTTCATTAGGCAGGAAGCAGGCAGAGAGAAATACTCAGATGTAAACACAGATTGCTTCTCACTGAGAAGCTAATATGACATAGAATATAGAGGCAATTGCTCAGAAGTTGTAGCTAAGAGCTATGGGGAATCATTCCCAGAAAGCAAGAGTGGGTTTTTATTAAGAAACTGGTGATAGCCCTGCCAGCATGGCTCAGTAGTTGAGCATCAACTTATGAGCCAGGAGGTTACGGTTCGATTCCCAGTCAGGGCATATGCCCAGGTTATGGGCTTGATCCCCAGTGTGGGGCATGACAGAGGCAAGTGATCTGTCTCTCACTCCTTCTCATCTCCTCTCTAAAATCAATAAAAAATATTTTAAAAAAAAAGAAATTGGTGTTATATCTCTGTATTTTAAAATTGTTAATAGAATAAAGAGTAGTATGATTCTCAATATTTCACAAATGGGTTTCTTTGCAATTATTCTACCTCTGTATCACCATTGTATGTAGGCTGCTGATTTCTTTCTCATTTCTTTATTATTCAGGTCTTCAAATGAGAAGGAACTGCATTCAAGGAGCTGTATTCAAGGAACTGAGCCCAATGAACCCTATTCACATTTCGCTCTAATTTAGAGGCTGAGATCCTGGACTTTGGATAAAAGGCATAATGCAAATGAGACTTTGGGATCTTAGGAAAGAGATGAGTTTATTTTGCATATATATATATATATGCATTATTCTGGCCAGAGGGTGGAGTGCTTTCAGGTTTTATTTCCAAAAGATGGCTAAAATAGTATCTTGCATCCCATATATTTTTTTCTTAATATGATCTTGTCACTCCTACAAGAAGTGCCATTTAATTCTATCCCCTTTTTATCTGGGCTGACCATAGAAACTTCTGTGAGAAAAGAATGAAACAGATGTGAAATTTCAGGATATTCAAAGCTAGATCATAAGAAGCTTGTGTCTTCCTCATTAGTGGCTTTGAACATTTGTTTCTTGGACACTCTTCCTAGAACATGGCCGCCGTACTGTGAGATTCCCAGGCCACATGGCGAGTTCATGTGGTTAGCATCCTGTCTGAGCTCCTACTTAACAGCCAGAATCAATTGCATCAATTTTAGTCAAGCTTACAGATAACTACATCTTCATCCAAAATTGATAGTAGCCACATAAGAGAGGGGCCTCAAATGACACTGCCCATCTGTTCCCAGTAAGAATTATAAGAGGTAATAATAAAATGTTTTAAACCACTACATGTTGGATAATTTTGTGGTGAAATAGTCAATAACTAAAGCAATTTGATTTTCTGTTTTGTTTCAAAGTTCTTGAACATCCCACCCAATATTCTTAATTCCCTGAACCTCAGAATTTGTTATTATCAATTTATTATTGATAATAAATTGACCTTATTATTCTTTTTTTACATTTCTTCATTTCTTATTTCTTCTCCTTACATTAATTTCATAGTTCATTCTTAGAATTACTGTTTAATACAAATTTTCCCCTCTATTTCTCTCTCTCCCTTCTCTGTTGGTCACACAATCATAAATACCACACACACATACACACTTTATTGTGTATTTGTCTATCCACTGAACCAAACTGGCTAGGGGGAGTGCTTTTTCAGCAACTCTCTCCAAATCTAACTCTTCACAAATTTTGTGCCTGTTGCCAGGGAATAAAATGTATAAATGTGCTAACACCATATTTTAGATTTAGATTTGCTAAACACAAGAACATGCTTAGTTAGATAGCACATAATTTAAAAATAAAGCGGAAACTATTAGTAATTTCACATGGAAAACAAATATAAATTGGGATTTCCCCCTGAAAATTGGGATATATAGCCACCTATATTTTATATTTCAAGGCAATTACATTACATTTCTCTTTCCATTTTATCTCACATTTTTTAGAAGATTACTTTATACACTCTTTTCTTTTCTCAAACCCCTCCAAAAAATACCTTCTTTTCTGTCATCATTCTCATTCATATATGATGTTACATAGAAACAAAGAAGAAGAAACTTCCACAGACTTTTACAACTACACCTACCCGCCTATCTACGTCCACACCTTCCTTTCTACTTTCTCTCTGGTTACTATGGATACTCAGATCCACCTGTTCACTTGTGCACTAAACTCCATTGTCTAATCCTATTTAAAGCAATCACCTCAACATTTCCCTCCTCATTCTTTAATTATTGATTTTCTCTCTATAATGCATCTTTCTCTCTCAATATAGAAAGGTAATAACATTTCTCTAATCTTAAATTTTATTCTTGGCTGTGATTCCCTACCAGCTCTTATCCTAGTTCTCTAGGTCCTTTTGCATTCCAACTTCTTGAAAGAGTTGTCTATGTTTACTAGTTCTAATTCTTCCCTCCCATTTTTTCTTTAAT